ACCACCATTTGAATCCTTTGGCTTCTGGTGCTCATGGGGTGGCATGTATCTATCCATCTCCCCATCCTTCCAATTTGAATTACGGTCCCTCCATTCACGATCCCGGTCCTTCCAACCTTCGTCTGTTGCCCAACTTTGGTTACCACCCTGCCTTGGGTAATTTGAGCGGTAACCACCGCCTTGGTTGGCCAGAAAATTTACCTCATCGTTATACAAGGCTTCAAACTTCATCTCCTCAGGATTAATTCCCCCGACCCCCACAACGTTGACACCACTGGCACCGGCCCCCATTATATTTTTGGATAGAATATCAAGTTATGTCATGATTTTGGCCATGTTCTGGTCTCTCTCATTGTCTTTTTCAATCTGCTCTTTGGATAGCTTGAAAGTGAGAGGGGAAACTTAGTCCTCACGAGTGTACCATGCTCTACTGATGGTTGTCATACTATCTTAAAGTTGGGCTGCTACTGTATACGACTGTTGTACCAAACCTCCATGTGAGAGTTGGTCAGCGACGCCTTTGTTTATCGAATCCAAACTCCAGTAAAAGTATTGAAGTAGCACGTTGTCTGGAAAACCGTGGATTGGGCATTGTAGCACCAACTTTTTGAACTTTCGCCAAGTTTCGTGCAGAGACTCACCTTCTAAATGTTTAAAGGTCTAGATACTATCCTGCGGTGACATCATCTTCAAGGGAGGGAAAAATCGCACTTAAAATGTGGTCACCAACTCCTCCCAAGAAGTGATGGATTCACATGGTAGGTCAGCTAGCCACTTGCAAGCCTCTCCCATCAACGAAAAGCCTTAATCGAACCGACTCGTGAGAGATGTTTTTGAACGAGAATGGTCCACACACATCTACAAAGTTTTGAAGATGCTCGTGAGGATCCTCATGAGCCAGTCCACTGAAAAGTCCCTTCAGTTGCAAGAGTTGCAACATGATGCTCGTTATGTGGAACACTACATTTCCCTCGGATGGAGGTAAACGGATGGCTCCAACACCTCCCAAGAGATGGGGGACATTGATGTTGGGCTCTTGGACATCATTGAGATTTCCGATGTCATCTTGGTGGCATACATGACTACCGTTTCTACCATTAACACTCATGCTTTCTGAAATATTATCACAACAAACAAACAAAACTAAAAATTAGGTAATAGACTACAACAAACAAGAACAAAAATTCTACTAATATAAGAATTCCCAAATAACACCATTCCCAGGCAGCAACGCCATTTTGATGTTTGCGTAATCAACAACACAACTTTTGATGCAAGTGTCTATGATCGTGCAATATTATAATAACCCAATCAAGGGTTAGGGTTGAGTCCCAAGGGAGTGGTTTCGAGAATTAATAGAAAAACAAAATTCAGTTCTAACTAGTCGTAGCTAAAAACATTAACGATTAAAAACATTGTAAATTAAAGGGGGACACAAAAGTGTCAAATATCTATTTTGGGGTTTTTGTCACAAGTGAGTAAAAATGGCAAAATTAACAAAGTAATCTATGAATGAGAGGGGAAATCTTGGGATGTGATCGAAACATGGGATAAACAAGATTGTTGGGTACATGCTTCTGATAGAAAACTTATAAAGTAATTTTGACTATGCTAAGCTTTAAATGGAAATAAGCTCTCTCTCGAGCAACTTACCCCGTTTCAAATGGGTTCCTCTCGGACACCCACTTGCCTCATGAAGACCAGCCTACTCCTTAGCCCACTCACTCTCTCAAGCTGATATAAATTTATACCTAAATGAGCTTGCATTAAAATGGGTATGAAGATTTGAGTCTTGTTATAGGCCAAGAATGAAAAATCCAAGAGACCCTAGTCTAAATCCTTGGAAATGAAACCCCCTTCTTCTTCAAGTTTCAAAACCCTCTCAAACTCGGAGGAAAAAAAAGTACTTAAATTGTATCAATTGTTTCACACTAAAAATCTCTGATGATACTAAAAATCTTCTGATAAGCTATAACTCTCAACGAGTATTTATAATTTTTTAAAAATCTGTGCTGCAGCGGATCATTCGACGACATTAGTCAAAATCGCCGATCAACTCGGCGATTCGCCCTTTGGTGTAGTTCATTGTCGTCTTACACAATCATTCTGCATCGTTGTGCTCTGGGTCATTGGGCGACATAGTACTGTTTCACGGAACTTCTCGGCGATGCACCGACTGCTTCCTTTTTCCGTTGACTTGATTGTTTCCTTCCGGCTCAGCACACTGGAACAAAAGGCGAAGTGAGACCTTTTGGCGACTCGCCAAGTAGACTCGGTGATCCTCAGGCCTTCATTTTCTCGTTCTTTTCAGCCTTTTCGTTCTTTTTTGCAAAGTAGTGCCCATGCTTTCATTCAAACTTCAAATACCTGAAACTTAAGAGTTTTCATCATATATTGAGATAAAATAAGCATTTGAGGACACAATTTCTATTAAAATATAGCCCCAAATGAGTCCAATTTGTGTACTTATCATCCGAACCTGTGGTTTATTTTAGAGAATTCATCCTTTCGGATGCTCTCAACAAAGATTGAGATAAAACTCATTAGCATAAAAAATGTAGTTCAAATGGGGAGATAGTGTATTTTACTGTGTTTTCACTTAATTTTTCTCCTTGAACATTTGACTTCAACTTTATCATGTTTGACGTAAAGAAAATAAAGCTTGTGTCTCGTATTTGCAATAAAATCTTCAATGTACTCTTCCTTTGATGTCAAAGTAAAAAAATAGGCTGATGTAATATGTTGATAGTTCTTTTGACATCATTGTTGATAGTTCTCTTGATGTTGTTCTTGCAAATGAAAATGATGTAGCTGATGTTGATTTTCTTGCAATGCATGAGTCTTTCTCTTGCGATGCATGACTTCCTTCTTTACGATGCATGACTCTTTCTCTTGCGATGCATGATTCTTTCTCTTGCGATGCATGATTCTTTTCTTGCAATGCATGACTCCTTCTCTTGCGATGCATGACTCATTTCTCTTGCAATGCATGACTTCTTTCTCTGTGATGCATGACTCTTTTCTCTTGCGATGCATGACTTCTTTCTCTGCGATGCATTACTCCTTTCTCTTGCGATGCATGGATCTTTCTCTTGCGATGCATGACTTCTTTCTCTTGCGATGCATGGATCTTTCTCTTGCGATGCATGATTTCTTTCAGTGCGATGCATGAATCTTTCTCTTGTGATGCATGACTTCTTTTTCTGCGATGCATGAATTCTTTCTCTTGCGATGCGTGGATCTTTCTCTTGTGATGCATGGCTTCTTTCTCTGCGATGTATGAATCTTTCTCTTACAATACATGATTTCTTTCTCTGCGATACATGACTTCTTTCTCTTGTGATGCGTGACTCTTTTTTCTTGCGATGCATGAATCTTTCTCTTGCGATACATGACTTTTTCCTCTTGATGATGCCTTCCTGGTACCGAACGAAGATAATGTTTCATCGAGCAACATAGGTGATCTTCTGGGTATCTTCTTGGTGGAGGTATCGTGTCAATCGACATTACAAATAAAAATGACCCTCATAGTAATGATATCATCTTATCCGACAATACGATATAAATGACTCTCTGAGTAGTGGTGTCATTTTATTCGACAATATAATATAAATAACCCTCTGAGTAGCGATATCATCTCATTCGACAATATGATATAAATGATTCTCCAAGTAGTGGTATCATCTTATTCGACAATGCAATATAAATGACCCTCAAAGTAGCGGTATCATCTCATTCGACAATAAGATATAAGTGATCCTCTGAATAGTGATATCATCTCATTGACGATACGATATAAATGAATCTCTGAGTAGTGGTGTCATCTCATTTGATGATACGACATAAATTACCCTCAGAGTAGTGATATTATCGTGTCTAATAATGTGATGCGAACAAAAATCTTCCAGGTATGCTGGAAAATAATAACATTGCTTTCTTCGAGGTTTTCATTTGTTCCATCTCCAAACATAGTAGCATGTTCGTTATGGACTTCGCCTTGTTAAGAATTGAATTAAATTATGATATTTCTATCCATAATTCTTTGATATAAGAAGCATACAATATTTATTGTATCCACATAAAATTTGTTAGTTTAAAATGAACTGATCTGTGTCAATCTATTCGGTCGTCTGCTCCTTGTCTTGCTATCTCCGATTGACTTCTCCGATCTCCCGCCTCTTGATAGATAAGACAAAACATTTTTTATGCAAAATAATTTGACGATGAAAGGAATGTTTTAAGGAAAATAGATTTTCAAAAAGTAATATTTGGAAAAGGTCACAGCCAAGTGTCATGTCATGTTAAACTTAATGAACGTCTTTGAAGTTGATGCTTCGAGGTCTATCTGATTACTGGTTGGGAAGTATTCAAAGTTGTTCTAAACTGTCGGTGAACCTTATTGAAATTTTTGAGGTCATTCCCCAAAAATTTCTGTCCCAGTTAATTGTATTGGCGTATCTTGAACAGTTGGTGAGAAAATTCATGGAATTTTTGAGATACTCTCAAAAATTCTTTCCCAGTTACAATTCTCATCATAACTTCAATCTTGACTTGTTAAAGAGATCTTTTTGAGAATTTTTGAGTTCCTCTCAAAAATTCTGTCCTAGTTTCTATTGTAAAGAAAAATAGAAATTTTACGGGAGATATGATCGAGCCGTTGTGGCGCCTAAGTATCCTGTTGAGGCAAGAATCAGGTCAAACGTAGTTCCCCCTCAAAGATTAATATAAATAGGAAAAATTAAATAAGGAACCGACTGAGGCTGACATAGGGCACCTACGTATTTCATTCTTGAGAATTCAGGTCGAACATAGTTAAAAAACAAAATAAAATATTGAAAGGGATAAAGGGGGTGACTGAGGCCGACATAGACCACATACGTATCTCATTCTTGAGAATTCAGGTCAGACGTAGTTCATTACAAAGGGATAAAATTCTAAATAAAGTGATTACAAGCAAACAGAACGATTACAAGGAAATAACAGAAATACACACTGAGACTTCACACATAATATCTCTTGATCGCATTTGAGTTGATTAGTTTCTGCCATTTGGTGCCATCCATCTCCGACAGGGCCAAGATACCTCCAGATAACACTTTGCGAACCATGTAGGGTCCTTGCCAATTTGGTGCAAATTTCCTTTTGCACTCATCCTGATAAGGGAAAATGCATTTGAGAACTAACTGACCAATTTTGAATATCCTGGCTCTTACTTTCTTGTGAAAAACACGAATCATTCTCTGTCGATACAGTTGACCATGAAAAACAACAACCATTCTCTTCTCATCAATCGATGTTAACTTATCAATCCACTTGCGAACCCAATCAACATCATTCAGTTCAGCTTCATGGATGATTCTTAATGAAGGTATTTCGACCTCGAAGGGTATAACTGCTTCTGTCCCATAGACTAACAAATATGGAGTTGCTCCAATTGACGTTGTAACAGTTGTTCTGTAATCCAACAAAGCATATGGCAACATCTTATGCAAACCTCTGTGACTGTCAATCATCTTTCTTAGAATCTTTTTTATGTTCTTGTTGGCGGCTTCTACAACTCCATTCATTTGGGGACGATAAGCGGTTGAATTTCGGTGAGTAATCTTGGATTGTTCACATATCTCTCTCATCAAATGACTATTGAGATTTTCTCCATTATCAGTATGGATTCTGGTACTCCAAACCTACATATCAAATTGTTGCGAACAAAGTCAACTATAACTTTCTTGGTCACCGACTTATATGAAGCTGTTTCCACCCACTTGGTGAAGTAGTCAATGACAACCAAAATGAATCTGTGTCCGTTAGAGGCGGCTGTCTCTATTAGGCCAATGACATCCAATCCCCAAGCTACAAACGACCAAGGTGAACTCATATCATTGAGTTTTTGAGGTCGGACTCGAATCAAATTACCATGCACTTGACATTAATGACATTTCTGCACAAACTTTCAACAATCATGCCCCATAGTCATCCAAAAATAACCGGCTCGGAGGATCTTCCTAGCCAAAGTGAGTCCATTCATATGAGTATTACAAACTTCCGCGTGTATCTGTTCAAGAGGCTTTGCAGCGTCACTAGCATCAACACATTTGAGAAGACCTAAATCTGGAGTCCTCTTATAAATGATTTCTGCACTTGGAAAGAAATTATTAGCCATACGACGCATTGATTTCTTCTGGTTGAACGTTGCATTCTCAGGATAAGTTCCGGTCTCCAAATACTTCTTTATGTCAAAATACCAAGGCAAACCATCTGGTTCCACTTCAACACGTGAACAATGAACATACTGCTCTTTTACCTATATATCCAAAGGATTCATATAACTTGTATCTAGATGTTTGATCATTGAGGCAATGGTGGCAAGAGCATCGACTAACTCATTATGTGTCCTGGAGTCTGCTTGAATTCAATCTTGCGAAATCTCTTGCACAACTTCTATATATACTGCACATACGGTGCGATCATTAGGTTCTTCACGACCTATTTTCCTTGAACTTGATGAATCAACAATCTGAATCTCCAATTACTAGTAACTCGTGGACATTCATGTCGATGTCCATCTTCAAACCAAGAATGCAAGCTTCATATTTAGCCATGTTGTTCGTGTAATCAAATCGGAGTTTAGCCGCCATAGGATAGTGCTGGCCAGATTCGAACACAAAGATTGCTCCGATACCCTATCCTTGATGGTTTGCCGCTCCATCAAAGAACACTCTCCAACCAGGGTATGCTTCGGAAATATCTTTACCCACAAACACCTTTTCTTCATCGGGAAAATAAGTCTTGAGCGGTTCATACTCTTCATCAACCAGATTCTTCACAAGATGATCAACCAAGGCTTGTGCTTTTATCGCCTTCTGGGTCACATACATAATGTCAAACTCACTCAAAAGCATTTGCCATTTAGCCAACTTCCCGTCAGCAATGCTTTCTGAAAAAAATATACTTCAATGGGTCCATCCTGGAAATGAGATATATGGTATATGAGGACAAATAATGTCTCAACTTATGAGCGATCCAATTTAAAGCACAACAGGTCCTCTCCAAAAGAGTGTAACAGGCCTTATGTGGAGTGAATTTCCATCTCAAGTAATAAATGGCCCACTCCTTCTTCCCAGTTTCATCATGTTGACCAAGTACGCATCCAAATTCATTATTCGAGATAGACAGATATAGCAACAATGAACTCCCTTCTCATGGAGGAACCAACACCGATAGATTGGACAAATAATTATTGATGGCATCAAAAACAGTTTGACATTCTCCGATCCACTTTGCCAGAGAATCTTTTTTCAGCAACTTAAAAATGGGCTCAAACACCACGGTGGATTGAGCTATGAACCGCATAATGTAATTCAACCTTCCCATGAATCTCATCACCTCTTTCTTTGTCTTCGGAGGAGGTAACTCTTAAATCTCCTTGATCTTGGAAGGGTCAAGCTCAATGCCCATCCTACTGACTATAAACCCCAACAGCTTGCCAGCTGGGACTCCAAAAGCACATTTGGTGCGATTTAGCTTCAAATTATATCGATGCAGACGATCGAAGAACTTTCTCAAGTAAGTCAAGTGATCCAAACTCTCGCGGGATTTGATAATGACATCACCAACGTACACCTCGATATTATTGTGAATCATATCATGAAAGATGGTCATCATAGCCCTCATATAAGGAGAACCGCATTCTTGAGACCAAAAGTCATCACCCGATAATTATATACACCCCAAGGCGTAACGAAGGTCGTCTTTTCTGCATCTTCTTCATCTATCAGGATCTGATGATAACCCGCATAATAATCCACAAATGACTTCATCTCATGCTTAGCATAGTTAACAATGAGAATGTGAATGTTTGAGAATGGAAATTTATCTTTCGAGCTAGCTTTGTTGGGATCTCTGTAGTCGACACAAATTCTGATCTGTCCATCTTTCTTGGCAACTGGAACAATGCTGGCTAACCAAGTTGGATACTACATCACCTCCACCACTTTAGACTCAATCTTCTTTGTAATCTCCTCTTTGATCTTCAAACTCAGCTCTGGCTTGAATTTCCAGGTTTTCTACTTTACCGGACTGAAATCTGGATTGATGGGCAATTTATGAGAAACCATGTTTGTACTTAGCCCTGGCATATCTCTGTAAGACCAGGAAAATACGTCGATGTATTCTCTAAGAAAACAAACCAGGTCCCTTCTTTGAGCTTCAGTCAAATGGACACTTAATCTTACTTCTTTGACACACTCATCATTTTTTAGATTCATAGTCTCAGTTTCTTCCAAATTCGGCTTCTGTTGGTTCTCAAATTGTCGGAACTCTTCATCAACATGTTAGGGTACCACATTTTCTTCTTTGTATTCCTCGCATACATTATCACCTGCCTCATTTTGTTAGTTCGGCTCGTGACATGACATTGGCAGGTTTTAAATTATTATTATTGAAATCATAAACAAACAAAGTTAGGAAAGTAAAATATAAACAAATAAGTAAATAAACAAATTTTTGGTAAGAGAGGCTTTTCATTTAAATTTTAAAAACATGCAAAAACTTTGGCCATGACCAAAGATCATTTAGTCTTTTTGAAACATCATGGGGGAATTTAAAGACTTAAACAAGCAAGATATGCATAAAGGGTGGGTCTCGGGCCTTTTTCGGACTACCACCAATTTTAAAAACAAACATAAACACATATCCTTTCTACCCAGATGAGCGGGGAATCAGGAGTGGTGTGAAGGTCCAATTTTGCAACTGCTCCTCTAGTTCAGCATCACGAATGCCTGATGTCCCGACCTCTTCCTCGATGACTGCATCAATCTCCTCGAAAAGGACCCAAATTCCTTCCCCGAGACCACCATCATTGACATATTCTCGCACCAGGAATGACTGGTACAAATGAGGAATTGGCCTAGCCAATGCTCGATCAACACTCTTGTTCATCATCTCTGCTTCATCATCTGTGGGACATACCCCAAACCAAACTTTTCTCCCCTGGTGGGAATTTGAATAGACTCAACAATTCTTTGAAAATGCTTCCCCAATCCAAAACCTGGTTCGAAACCACTCCAGAGCATAACAATAGCTATTATCTTGTACACAAAAGGCATAAGGGATTGTGGAGCCAAGTCATCACCGGTGACATTTACTAACTCGGCCGTGTAGAAATCAGAACCTCAGGAGACCTCGTCAACAATCGGTGCATACACATTGGAATGGCTCCATTCACCATGAATGACCAATTCTTGGTCCTTCCAAACAAACTTCATCAACTGGTAGAGGGTAGAAGGCACAACCCCGGCCATGTGAATCCACGATCTTCCCAGAAGCAAGTTTTAACTGGTATTGATATCCAACACCTGAAAATCCACATTAAATTATGCAGGGCCCATCTGAATATCCAAGTTCACTGCACCCAATGTGTCTCTTTACTCTTCATCAAAAGCCCTCACATTGACTTGGTTCTAATGAACCTTTCCCAAGTCGAAGTTTAGCTGCTTGAGAGTCAAAAGTGGGCAAAGGTTGAAACCAGATCCGTCATCAACTAAGACGCAATTTATAACCTTGTCTGACACATAATGGTGGAGTACAAAGCTTTGTTGTGCATCCTGCCTTCAAAGGGTTGTTCTTCGTCACAAAAACTGATGCGGTGTCCTCGAATGACTTGGCTTATCATGGCCACCAGATTATCATTGTTAGTACCCACGGGCACATAAGTATCATCTAAAGCCTTCATCAAAGCTTTCCTATGCAGTTGTGAACTCATCAGCAAGGCCCACACAAAAATCTGAGATGGTGTTTTCTCCATATGCTTCACGATTGAGTAATATTTGGGTTGCATCTTTCTCCTAAACGCTTTTAGTTCAGCTTCACTAATTAGCCTTTTAGACTAATCCTTCTTCTGCACTCCCTGGGCTAACTTTTTTGGTGTGTAACATCTGCCGGATCTAGTCATACCCTGGGTCGCAGCCGTTTCAATCACAAACCTTTGTTGGGCAGGAGTTTCTCTTGGCACCAAGGCAACAACCTTCTCGGATGTCAGAATCAAAAACTCTTTCTTCTCTCTAATGCACAACGAAGCTACAAATCTTTCTAGTTCATCAGGAACAATCAGAACTATTGCCTTTGTCACGCACCAATCATCATCCATCTCTTTTATATTGATAGTGATGCCTCCATGTTTTGGCAAAGTATTACTATTGACATTGGGAGCGACTGTTTGGAGAGAGACCACTTTCTGGTCAATCAAGTCTTAGATCTTGTGCTTTAGGCTGATACAGTCCTCGGTATCATGTCCAACACTGTTGGAGTGATATGCGCACCTCTGATCAGGTCTGTAAGGCCTTGAGCTAGTGTCAATCGGTTTGGGCCTCACTGGATGATATATCCTTCCGCAATTAATCGCTCGAATAGCTTTGTTCGACTTTCAATGAGTAGAGTGAAATTTCTAGAGGGCTTCTTCTCAAATTTAGGATGGGGGGGGGATCATAATTGCCTTGTTGAGGGGGAGGCATTTGAT